ACCGTGTTTTTGAGACTGTCTTTGGTTCATTGCAGTTTTAAGGAAACGGCAACTGAAACTGAAACTGAGGGCTATATATAACACTGGGACTAAACACTGCAAAACTAACTCAAACAAAGCTCAAACTCAAATTACTTTTATATCATCAAAGTCTAAAATATTTGCATGACATTATTTGAAACACGTACGTTTATATACCCAAACAGTAACAATTCCCTGCTTCTGACCCTAGACAGATTTAAAAGGATATTCAGATTATGAAACTTTATTACTCTTTTATCTATTGACCTGGCTCTTAATCCAAATTTGAGAAAATGAGGGAAGCCATATTTGTTCCATTTGCGAGCGGCACGTCCTGCATTTCTGTTAATCCTGCTGTTGATGGTGCAATATCACAACATCTGGTCATTTCAGAAATGGATTAGAGGAGCATTTCTTCTTCTATACAGTGCTGTTGCAGTCATTTAGCTCATCTGTGATCGCTTGTAAACTTCTTTTTAGGATTTTTACATAAGCCCAATATGTTCTAAAACAGCATATGCACTTGATTTCTGAACATAATCTCTTTACATGAAAAGTGTTGAGAGTGTTCGTTGACACAACTTTAAATCGTAATCTGTTTTAGCTTTCTAAATTCAAGCTTCAAACTGGGTGAATGTTTAAAAGCCATTACTTTCAAATAATGGAGTGTCATTACTATTCGATTCCTTTTAGAGCAGAAATCTCCTGGAAGCTTACAGTGTGGAAACTCATTAAAAGCAGAACCTTACAGTGCTGAATCATAAGGAGCAGAACCCAGAGTAAAATTGTTTAGAACGAAACCCTATAGAGCCATATAGAAGGACGAAACCCTATAGAGTCATATAGAAGAATGAAACCCCATAGAACGAAACCCTATAGAAGAACGAAACCCTATAGAGCCATATAGAAGAATGAGACCCTATAGAGCCATATACTGTATAAGAAGACAACCATATAGAGCCATATAGAAGAACGAAACCCTACAGAGCCATATAGAAGAACGAAACCCTACAGAGCCATATAGAAGAACAAAACCATATAGAAGAACGAAACCATATAGAGCCAAATAGAAGAACGAAACCCTATAGAGCCATATAGAAGAACGAGACCCTATAGAGCCATATAGAAGAACGAAACCCTATAGAGCCATATAGAATAATGAAACCCTATAGAGCCATATAGAAGAACGAGACCCTATAGAGCCATATAGAAGAACGAAACCCTATAGAGCCATATAGAATAATGAAACCCTATAGAGCCATATAGAAGAACGAAACCCCATAGAACGAAACCCTATAGAAGAACGAAACCCTATAGAGCCATATAGAAGAATGAGACCCTATAGAGCCATATATAAGAAGACAACCATATAGAGCCATATAGAAGAACGAAACCCTACAGAGCCATATAGAAGAACGAAACCCTACAGAGCCATATAGAAGAACAAAACCATATAGAAGAACGAAACCATATAGAGCCAAATAGAAGAACGAAACCCTATAGAGCCATATAGAAGATCGAAACCCTATAGAGCCATATAGAAGAACTAAACCCTATAGAGACATATAGAAGAATGAAACCATATAGAGCCATATAGAAGAACAAATCCCTATAGAACGAAACCCTATATAAGAACAAAACCCTATAGAGCCATATAGAAGAACGAGACCCTATAGAGCCATATAGAATAATGAAACCCTTTAGAGTCATAGAAGAACAAAACCCTATAGAGCCGTATAGAAGAACGAAACCCTATAGAGCCATATAGAATAATGAAACCCTATAGAGCCATATAGAAGAACGAGACCCTATAGAGCCATATAGAAGAACAAAACCCTATAGAGCCATATAGAAGAACGAAACCCCATAGAACATAACCCTATATAAGAACAAAAACGTATAGAGCCATTTAGAAGAACAAAACCCTATAGAGCCATATAGAAAAACGAAACCCTAGTCATATAGAAGAACAAAACCCTACATAGCCATGTAGGGTTCCGAACTTTATGTATAAATTCTGCTCTATACAATTCCATTTTATGAGGCTTTGTTCTGCTCTGTTAGAATGAAACTTTGTAGTGGATACTTATTGGGCAGAACCCTATAGAGTTTGAACCTTATTAAGAAACTGTAAAAACTAAGAGGAACCTTATAGAGGAGAACCATGGAATAGAGCAGTATAGAGCACAATCTTAAAGAGCAGAAATGTATAGAACCATATAGAGTGGGACATTACAGAGCAGAACTCAGTACTCTACAGGCTGGAAGATTGTAGAGCAGAACATGGCTAAACTACTAGAACAAACCCCTATAGAATAAAACTATTAAAAGCAGAACTTTATAGTGAATGGGTAGAACTCTATATAAAACTAAACCTTAAGAAGAATTTGTCTATATAGAGCAGGCCACTATGTACTTAAAGAGAAAAATATATAGAACTCTAAAACCTTATAGAGCAGAACTGTATAAAATAAAACCTTACAGATCGGGGCCCTACAGACCAGAAGATTGTAGAGCAGAACCCAGCCAAGGCTAGAACAGATAGAATAGAAGGAGCCTTAAATAGCAGAACATATGGAGCCGGGCCCTATAGAGAACACACTTAGAGCAGAAATATGTAGCTCAGAAAACAGAATGAAAACAAATAGAGCAGAACTACAGAGTGGAACCCTATAGAGCGGAGTCGTATAGGTCAGAACCTTATAGATTGGAATCACGTAATGCAGAACCCGGCTAAGGCTAGAACGGACCCCTGAATAGAACCATATTAAAAATAGAACTGTATTGGACAGTGGAGCCTTATAGAATGAAATCTTACTGGGCTGAAATTGGTCATATAAATCAGAACCCTACAGTTTGGAACATTGTGGAATCAGCAGAACCATATAGAGTGGAACCTATAGAAACCTTGTAGAGCAGAACCGTAGACAGTGATCACTGCTAGAACCCGTAGACTGTAAAAAAAATATGGACGTAGTGTCTGTGACGTCACTCGTAAGTTTCTGAAGAGCATTTTTTAAGGCCAAAGTGGGCGGAGCCGGCCGTCGCCATCTTGGCAGCTCGCCATTCCCGGATAAACGAAAATGGGCAAAGAGGTGGATTAGCTGAGGTGACGTGACGCTAACAGACAGCAGACAAACGGCTAGTAGTGACATCAGCGGCAATCCAGCTGTCACTCAAGTGGCCACGCCCTTAATTATGCAGAACTTTAAGGCTTAATATAATTTGAACGGATGAGTTATAAAAAAATTCACCCCCCGCACAGTTGTCATGAAGGGCAAAATTAGCTATATAGACCAAAACCACTTTTTGCACCAGGCTGTAAACATATTTTTTTCTGCTGTAAAGTTGGGCATTTTAACATTGGGGTCTATGAGATTGACTCTCTTTTGCAGCCTGTCTCTAGTGGCCAGTCGATGAATCGCAGTTTAAGTCACTTCCGTGTCGGATTCAAGAGAGAGACTGGAAGGTTGCCGCTTGTTAAAACCCTATAAAGTTGAATTTTAAAAAGAACTGAATCTTATAGAACAGACCTACAGATCTGAATGTTTTGGTGTCTAACCAAGTATAGCAGATCCTCTATAAGATCCAGACCCGCAGCTCAGGTGTCTCTCAGTCAGACGTTGCTCATGTGGTTTGATTGTGGTTTGAAACAGTCATGTGCATCACGTTCAGGCGTCCACCATCTGGTGTTCTGCATCAGTGCGTGACCCTCAGTCGACACACACTCGAGTCGAACCGCTCCGAACACACCAGGCCAGCATACATCTGGACCGGACGTGACGCAACTCCCGAACTCCTTTGCTGCTTTATCTTTTGTATTACACGTGACATTTTGATCTCGGACGGAGAAGGAGAGTGTGTTTGAAGGAAATGTGTGTTGTTTATGCAAGTGTGTAATCTCTCATGTGGTTAAACTCTCTCCCATCTGTGCTGTGTGTGTGTGTGTGTGTGGGAATCCTTTTGAGTGTTTTGAGGCTCTTCTTACACACACTAACAATATGCTAGATTAAGAAACAGTGTTCAAAACCATGACTAGTCTGTGGGTTTTCTGAATGACTAGATTATTCAGTGTTAAGAACGTCCTGTATAATTAGGCTGGCTGTGTTTTGCTGGTGTGCTTTTTTTTTTTTTTTACACAGTTTGGACTATATTTAGCTTTATTTTTTAGCAAATGTAGCAGTGCAATAAAGAAAATGAATTTAAAAACCTTTGCAAAAAGTGTTTTAACTGCAGAATGGCACATTTGGCACACAAGATGATAATGGATGAAGTTAAAGACAAACAAGTGCAAGTACATTTTATTTATATATCACTTTTCAGAATTTACATTGTTTCACAGCAACTTTACAGATAGATATTGCTGGATTAATGCCTAAATGACATAAAGTTCTCATTGTACAGTTCAATTAAGAAAATTGTCTTGCTATATTTGTCCGTCTCAATTTGCATACGATCAGTTTTCAATGATTAACGATTAACGTCTCAAATCAAAGTGTGTTAAAAAAAAAGTGTGTCAGAGGTGTTTCATATAATATTTCTAGTGCATTTTTTTAAGTGTGCATCTTTTGGCTAATATTACCCACAAGCCCTTGCATTAGAGAAGGAGTTTATGACGGTACTCTTTTGACTTTTCCAGTGGCGAGAATGTTTTTATTGAAGTTATATTGAATACTGTGTAATTAATTTAGTTAGATGCCAATGCAAATAGTATGAGACAAAAGGTTCTTTAATATTGCATTGACAAGGTAGTTTGTTACAATACTAGCATACTGAAGAAGTTGTAAAGTGCATACTTTTATTATTTGCATGTGAATTGAGGTAAGCAGGGATCATAATGTTAATCTTAAAAATCGACCTGGAGCAATTTGGATGGGGATCAGATAGTGATGTGGTTTTGAATAATTTGTTGAAATCATTAAATGGAAAGAGATACACCTGTGTGTAACGGCAGATCTCACCCTACTATATGTCCACAGGTTTCTCATGGTCCTAGTGTGTCTGATATTCAGTGTCCTGTCCACCATCGAGCAGTATGCAGACTTCGCCTCAGGATTGCTCTTCTGGATGGTGAGTGTTGCACTAGATATCATTTTTTATTGAGCTGCAAGTGACATTTCCAGTAAGCGAATGCAGTACCGTTTACTCCCATTGGATGGCAATGTCATATCTCAGTTGAGTTGATGTTGAGTTCATGGAAAGGGCTTGAAGGCTTGTATTCCCAAGACCACATTAAATATAACTGATTTAGCAGTTTGTATTTCTGCCTGCACACCCACACCTGGAGACACCTGCAGTGGGGCGGATCCCAGAGAAAACCCAGAGGCTTTGAACGCCGTCCAGACACACTTCATCAAACCAGCACTGTCATCATTTAATACATGTTTAATTGCCCTGCCTGGATGACAGATTTTAGTGAGAGACACGAGTGAGTGAGTGAGTGTGTATTTAGTGAATATTTATACTGTGTGTGAGATAATCCCCAAGATCCCTTTGAAACAGAGAGTTTTTGGCTCGCCTATAAGTCTCCAATCAACAGTCAGAGATGAACTAAAACATTCATTTTATAGCTCTGGCAGCCATTCATATTGTCAATCACTATTGGCTCATTTGTGCCTGTTTTTATTACTCCTAAAGAATATTAGTAGAAAAGTTCACCCCTAAATGAGACACATCTGAGAACTCCATTATGTTTCCAGCGAAGACAACTATTTCGTTTTTTATTACTCCAAAATGAATTTTAGTAGAAAGGCAAAGTTGTCCAATAAATTAGACTTAACTTAGATCTCCATTATGTCTCCTGAGCTCTAAAAAACAACAACAACAACAACACCTGCGCAATGATCTCTGGATATTTTTGTGAATAGGCTTGCATGCAGTGTGTATGTTCCTGCCAGTAGACTAGTTTAACTTTACATTTAGTCATTTAGCAGACGCTTTTATCCAAAGTGACGTACAAATTAGGACTAAATTAATGCGAGTCATCGTGAAGAGGCAAAACAACGCAAGAAGTGCTCAAAATACAAAGTCCCGGCATTTCTCAGAGTACCATAAGCCAGACAAGGGAGGATTATTACTCTATTATTTAATAATACTTAGTTGTTACTAGTTGTTGTTAGCACTCTTTTGACTTGTGTAAGCAGTCAGGGTCAAACTATAATCAGAGGTCAGAGCGGATATATCGTGTAGACACATATTTGTTTAGTTATTTGTTTACATTAATGAACATCTGCATTGAAACAATAAAAACAGACGTAAACATGCCGGATTATAGCCACTGGGCTAGTTTACATCCGTAGTCCCTAGACAAATTACTGAAATACAGAGATTATAACATACCAAATGACAAATAAGTAAAATAAAAAATAAAAAAAGAATCACTTAATGGTCACTTTAATATACGGTGATCATGCAGAGCTCCAGCTGTTTCTGTCTGCTTTGCAGGAGATCGTGCTGGTGGTGTTTTTCGGGACGGAGTACGTGGTCCGGCTGTGGTCGGCCGGCTGTCGGAGCAAATATGTGGGCATTAAAGGACGTCTGCGCTTCGTCAGGAAACCCATCTCCATTATAGGTGGATGTTCCCTATAATGTTGCCTAGAGTGGAATACTGGCATACGGCTTACCACTGTAGATATGATATACTGCATACTAATTTTAAATCAATAGTATGTGATGCCCAATTTTATGTTGTTGTCACATGACCCCACTACCATTGTACATTCTTACCTGGATTGGCTGCCATATTTTTAATCTGATTCTTTTTACAAAACATCTGGAATTTTGACAGTCCAATCAAATAAGAAACTAGGAAAAATATAAAAACATTTTTTATTTTATATTGCTTTTATTACTTAAAATTCATTCCTCACTCTGGAAATTTATTTCAATTTCAATATTTGTAAAGATTTTCTTTTTTGGTTATATGTCCTGTTATATGACCATCTAATTTACTCTCAATGAGATACTATAATGTTTTTTTTTTTTACAATTTTTTTTATTGTTTTTGCATTTTTTTATTAGTTATATTTTTTGTTTTAGTTATTTTTGTGCTTCAAGTTAAACTAAATGAAAATGCGAAATGGTTTCTTGACTGAAATAGCTGAAATAAAATAAGTTTTCATATTATATTCCAAGTAACAATTTTTTTTTTAAATGGTTTTAGTTTATATATTTTAACAACCCCGTTTTGTTTCTGATTTAGTTTTTCTTTAACCATTTTTTCCCGTTCGTTCACTGAAATATGTCATATTTACAGACTAAAGTCTTTTATCTATACCAAGATTATTCATAATTTCAGAAAGCTCTGTGTTATGAATCGGACCTCTTCTTGTGCTCATGACACAGATCTGATAGTGGTCGTCGCTTCTGTCGTGGTTCTGAGCGTCGGGTCCAATGGGCAAGTGTTTGCCACGTCCGCAATCAGGTACAGAAATATCATCACACACACATGTTTGATCAGAAGAACACCCAGCTGTGATCAGACTTCACTGATGTTTACTGTAGTGTGTTTATTAATGCTCTGTGTATACTGTGAACTTGTAGAGGGATCCGGTTCCTCCAGATATTGCGTATGTTGCATGTGGATCGTCAGGGTGGAACATGGAGGCTTCTGGGATCAGTGGTTTTTATTCATCGACAGGTACGCTTGGTTTGCGCCATGACCGTAATTCTGGGGTTAATACTTTACAGTGCAATGAAACCCACTGATTTCATCAAACTGAGTTAATCAGCACACGCCTGGCGTAACCAACCTCAGATTCTCTCTCCAAATATGGCCTTAGGAATTCACATCACGAGAATCTAAGCTCCCGTTTCACTCATCTAAGGCTTTACACTTTAAATCCAACTACTTCACGCTCACATTTTCTCAATCATTTCACCGTTGACGCACGTTTCATGAAAGGGCTGAAGTTCTCAGTGGATCAGGCATGATTAGGGTACTTCATTCAGCTCCCCGTGTGCCTTCACATGCAGTTTTGCCTTTTAAGGTCAGGTGCTTTTATACTCCACGGCGTACGCCACGTCATCTACTCCAAACGAGAGAGTAAATGAGCAAACACCATACACTGCATCACAAACAAATACAATTAAACTGTTTTTATTAGTCATGAATAAAGTATGTATTGCACTAAAAAGTAGCATAAAATCTCTCTCTCTCTCTCTCTCTCTCTCTCTCTCTCTCTCTCTCTCTCTCTCTATATATATATATATATATATATATATATATATATAAAGTGTTTGGAAAAAGCTTCACCATTTATTCAAATATCATTACAAATTTGTTAAAGATTTTTTTTTGGAGCATTTTGCATTGTTGTGCTCTGAGTCAATTGTTTTATTTGTGATAATAACACAATGAAACATGTTAAATTGTGCGACATCATTTTTTGGCCATGCTGTCATACAAAGAAATTATGAACGCATGCAAAAATATGAGAGAACCAACAGAATATTAATAACTGATTACGTTGAAGTCCATGTATGCTTTTCTCTGTGAGCTTTTTGTTTTTCTATGCATTTTTTGGCATAGTAAAAAAAAACCTGTAGCTTGAGTTTTTTGCCAAAAATATATTCAGATAAATAGTTTATTGTGTTGTTTTTCCTTCATATTTAAAAGATACAAAATATTTTCCATATATTTTGATTGTTTAATCAAACTTGTCGGGTCATAGACAACTATTACCTACGCTATATATATATATACAGTATGTATGCATCTGTAGATCTGTCAAAATCTGTAGATTAAATATGTAATGCGTATGTAGAACAACTTTCATAGTCATTAATTCAGTCCTGTAGTGTAATGCATAATAGAAAAAGAGATCAACATGCTATACATCTAAAACTATTAACTTTTTTTGTTTGTTTGTTCATGCAGTCATTAAATTTTACATGACATTTTTTTCATTTATATAATCGTTTTTGTTAATTGAATGCAGTTTATGTGGCATCATGTTAATTTAGAGATTACATGGATAATATTTTTCACAAAGATGAATGGTGACTTCTAAGATCTGAGAACGTTCCTAAAATGTTCACGTAATGCTTAATACACTCCTTATTTATACGTTTTAACCTAAAATCTTGATGTTGGACACAGGTTCATCCATGTTATTTATGACCTGTCGTTTCGCCCGGTTCAGGAGCTGATCACCACGCTGTACATCGGGTTCCTGGGTCTGATCTTCTCCTCATATTTTGTGTATCTGGCGGAGAAGGACGCAGTAGACGAGGAAGGGAAGACGGGGTTTTCCAGCTACGCTGATGCTCTATGGTGGGGTGTGGTGAGTTTACTCTTCTTCATCAGAGAGTGGAGTTACTGGCTTTCCATTCCTCAAAAGGTTCTTTTATATTGGAAAAAAGGTTCTTTAGATCATTTAAATGATCTTACAGGAAGGAAAAAATGGTTCTTCTATAGCAATGTGAAAACCCCCTTTAGTGCAGGTGACGCTGCCTTAGGCCCCGTCCACACTACTGCGTTTTCGTTTAAAAACGGAGACCTTTTGCTACGTTTGCACCTCCCGTCCACACTAAAACGGCAAAAACGACCCAAAACGGAGAAGTTTAGAAACGCTGCCGATCCATTTTTCGTTTTGAATCTCCGGAGGGCGTTTTAGTGTAGACGGGTCAAAACGGAGGACTTTAGAAACGATGCCGTAGTAGAGGCTCACGCTCGGCTTTATGATTGGGTGTCATCAGTCATGGCGTATATCTTTGCTAGCAGCTGTTGTACAAGTAAATTCTGCATTTTACAACGCTAGAACTGCCTACATGCGCCGGAGTCAAGCTATTATTCGAGCGATCTGTGACAATTCCCGTGTGCAGCGGCGGCGTTGACCGCACATGGAGCGTCGGTTTGGGGTTAACCCAGAGCATGGTGGGATAATTTTATCAAGGAAGTTGTGTTTACACCGGCACGCGCATGCCCAGTGTTGGTGAATGGTCACGTGATCCGCGTTATCAGTCTTTTTAATGTGGACGGAGATCAATTCTAATACGCAGCTAAAACGCTGGTGTGGACGGAGATCGTATTCGTTTTAATTCTCCGTTTCTAAACTAAAACGCAGTAGTGTGGATGGGGCCTTAGATTTGGGCGAGAATGAGCTATCTTATAAAGCGTAATTATCTGTCTACCTGTTGGATTCATATCAGGTGTGTACCTTAAAGGAGAACTCCGGTCAATTTTAACATTGAGCTCATTTTTTTGTAAATTTGGAGTGCTGTCAGTACAGAGAACAACAACAAAAATCGGTGTTATCCTCTTTTAAAATTCGCACACTGTTGACTTAAACGGGGCAAGTTTTAAACCTGCTTTTAGCCTCTTAACATCCTTGGTGTGTCATTACAAGTGCACAGCCATGTGAGTGATTTTATTCAGAGTAAACACGGTGAATCTGACTGCAGTAGATGTGAAAGATATGAATAAAAATGATGTTTATTCAGCCAGCTCACATACCTGTATTTACTTCCTGTTTTCGGTCGAAGTCCACAGTAGGCGATTGTCGAGTTCATTTGTCATTGGTAACTAAGCAACAGTGGAGACCATGCGCGAACTCGACAATCAACTACAGCACTCCAAATTTACAAAAAAATTTAGTTCTCCTTTAAAGGGATAGTTCACCCCAAAATGAAAACTCTGTCAGTAATTACTCTCCCTCATGTTGTTCAACCCCGTAAGACTTTCGTTCATCTTCGAAACACAAATGAAGATATTTTTGATTAAATCTGAGAGCTGGATCACTCCTCCATAGGCTTCTTAAGGGATCAAAACTGGCCGGCCCAAAAGTTATTAAAGACATCGTTAAAATAGTCCGAGTGACTACAGTGGCTCAACCTTAAGTTTATCAAGCGACGAGAATACTTTCTGTGCGCAAAGTAGGCGCTGCGCTGTTACACTACGTGAAATCTCACGGCCCCCAGAGAAGGAAATGAATAGTTGAATAAAGTCGTTATTTTTGTTTGTTTTTTGCGCACAAAAAGTATTCTCGTCGCTTGATAAACTTAAAGGCACACTATGCAAGAATTGTACCCTAATATACCAGCTTCAAAGTAATTTCGGTGGTAAACAAACTCATAGTAGGGCGAATCATCCTGGTAGTAAAGCTTGGGGGGGGGACGCCGCTGGAAAAACCAGCAATGCAAGTTTGAGAGGAGCGCCCCGACAAATCTCGCGAGAATCACGACATGCTTTACGCCAACGACGTCACACACATCAACAACAACGACGTCACACACATCAACAACAACATTGAAGCACGAAGACACTTGCGCGCATTTCAGACGTGATACTCGACGACGGAAAAAGCAAAGAAAACGCGGTCGGAAGAGACTAGGAAAAGGAATAGAGAATCTGACCGCGTGAGGAACCGGACAAGAGTCCCACTCGGTCGGGCTTTCACTCGTTGGCGTGAGCTAAAAAGCAGCACTGACTGGATGCAACAGCGATGCTGACCTGGCGATCTTGTTGATGGACTAGTAAGTAAATCTTTCAAAGTTTGTGTGCATTTTATTTTGTGATTCCACCGGAATGAATAGAGAGTCTCCGCAACGGCGATAGATTGAAGAGCGCGTCCGAGTGAAGACTGCGCGCGCCGCCACAAGAGACACTATGTATCCATGACACTGATAGCAGCGGACACGAGCGCTCAGGTTGAGTTCAAAAACACATCTCTTATTTAAAGGCACACTATGCAAGATTTGTACCTTCATATAACAGCTTCAAAGGGGTATCAGGCCGTGAGTGCAGAGACCAGTCTATGGCAGACGCTCTGCGTGAGTGGCATTTACGACAGTAACGTTAAATACAAGTTCTCCACAGCGACTCTAGGGGTCGCTGTTTGACAAAAACGGAATTCCTGCATAGTTTGCCTTTTAAGGTTGAGCCACTGTAGTCACTCGGACTATTTTAACGATGTCTTTCATAACTTTTGGGCCGGCCAGTTTCGATCCCTTAAGAAGCCTATGGAGGAGTGATCCAGCTCTCAGATTTAATCAAAAATATCTTCATTTGTGTTTCGAAGATGAACGAAAGTCTTACGGGGTTGAACAACATGAGGGAGAGTAATTACTGACAGAGTTTTCATTTTGGGGTGAACTATCCCTTTAAAACTCTGCCTACTTCTGGAGTTTACTAGGTTTTGAGCCTCAGTTTGGATTGGTTATGGGTGTAATATGCCAATGTTAGATGAACAGTAATGTCTCCAATAGCTTATATTTGATATCACGTCTGGTCTGGTGAGTTTCGGGGTCTTGCTTTGGGATTGGTGAGAATGTTTATACCCACAACAGAAACTTGAGGCTCTAAAATGCGTGTGATTTTTCTTTGTTCTGTCACATTGCAAACCACACAAGAAAAGAGGGTCATAAAACATCCAGCTCCAAATCAACCCACTCGAAAAGGCCATTGGAATCGGTCCTGGATGAAGTTTCCAGTGCAGTTAATTAAAAAGCTGAATTTAGTGTGAACCGTAATGAGAAACCAATCGTACGCCTGTACGGGGAATCTGAGCTACAAAAGCTTGGCCAATGTCCCTTTCACCTCTTGCTCAAAGAGCTTTCTCCTCCGCGCCGTAAAGTGTCGGATCCGTTAATTAAAGCTTTAATTGCAGAGGCTGTACCTCTCCGTGAAGAGGGTCAGAAAGAGTATGGCCACCCGTTGGCCCTCGAGTCGTGGACAAAAGCAGTTGTTTGTATGGAGGAGGCGGCATTGAGAAACCCTCCATGGGGGTCGTCTCGCTTTTGTCTCTGTGAAGTCTACAAAACTTTAGATTGAAGGGAGGAATTACAGATGGTATCGACTTGAACTTGGAAAGGAAAAAAGAATATTTGAGGAAAATTGTTATATCTACACTCTTATAAAGCAAAGGTTCTATATGGAACCTTAAAGGGTTCCGTCAGGCGCTTCATATATGGAGCCTTTTAGGGGTTCCAATCATTTTATGGATTTCGTTTGAATTCATTTTTTTTTTTTTTTTTTGGACACAGCGTTCAAACAATATTTGCAACATAATCCAATATACGTCTCCACTTTGTGTTTTCAGAATGAACAATTCTTCAAAACAAATGTCAATTCATTTTGTTTTAATTCATTTTTTATTTTAATTAAGTGTCATAAATTAAACCGCTCCTAAACATACTTCGTCACTAGAAGAAAAGAAAAAAACACCATTAAAGCTCCAGTCGGCAAGTCTGGCAGATTGAGTGGATTTAGGAAAATTTTGAATGTTTACAACTCTCATGCCCCTCCCCCACTATCAACGGATACCCTCCCACCCAGTTCATGCTCGTCAGTGCCAGCTCTGGTCAGTGCGTGTGCACCAGATTTTCAGTGAACGCCAGGGCTCTCAAGTGTCACGCATTGAGCGTGACAGTCACTCATTTCGGTCTTTTGTCACGCTCTCCCGCCACACATTGTATTTCTCACGCTGAAAAACTATTTGTAATATATTTAATATGCCGCAGCGCCCAAAACTCTGGCCGCGCCGCTCTCACTGTGGAACCGGCATGAATCAAGCGTGTTTCCTCTGGTGTTGTTCGTCGAGCTACACAATAGCCAATCAGAAAATAGCACTATTGTATCTGGGTAAGATTTAACGCAACAACCAATGACAAAAATGTATCCAACCCCCCGTCGGCTGGGTGTCACTCTTACCTGTCTTCAAAACTTGAGAGCCCTGGAACGCGCCCGTCTCATCAGCATCCATCAACACCATGGAGTATTTGGAGGTATGCTGTCCTGGCTAATGTACCGATAGATTGCATTTGCTAACGTCATTTATACTCTAAATGAGCTTACTTGATTTTCCGCCATCACTCTTCGTTACTGCGCGAACTTCAGGCGTGTGCATGTGATTGTAACGTGCGCGAGGGGTGGCGTGTGCCCGATCTGTGATTGACAGTCAGATCTCACACCCCCCTGCGCTGATTGGACATGATGAACCGGGAGCTGTGGATTTTTGCAAAACAAATAACAAGCTCCAGGTGGAGTTAGAAGCTCTGGGTTTTTTCTAAAACCACTTTATTTATGTTGTTCTGTCAGATTATAGTGTCGATTTCACTGAATATGATCAAAAAAATGTTGCCGACGGCAGCTTTAAACATGAAAGTGTTATGCAATAATGTAAGACATTTCTCTTTAAATAAAAAAGACGTGCTTTATTTAGATATTAACTTTTGTCTCGGGTGTTTCTCCTTAAAGAAAAAACAACAGACTAATGAGTTAATAATTAATAATTACCAAACAGTAAGAGTATAGTGCTATAAAGTTAATGTGCATAGCATATAG